GCCGAGACGCGGAATTCGTCTTTACCCATTATGACGCCTCCACCAGCGGCTGGCCCAATGGATGGGCTTTCTTCGTGGGTTTGCTGCAGGCAGCATACACCCTGACAGGCTACGGAATGGTCGCTGCCATGTGCGAAGAGGTGCAGAACCCACACCGCGAGGTGCCCAAGGCAATCGTGTTGTCCGTGGTCGCAGCCGGCATCACCGGTCTGCTGTACCTAATCCCGATTCTGTTCGTGTTGCCCAACGTGCAGATTTTGCGCGAGGTTGCTAGCGGCCAGCCGATCGGCCTACTCTTTAAGACAGTGACGGGTTCAGCGGGCGGTGGCTTCGGTTTGCTCTTCCTGATTCTGGGTATCATGCTGTTTGCCGGCATCGGGTCCCTCACAGCTGCCAGTCGCTGCACGTATGCATTCGCACGTGACGGTGCCATTCCGGGCTTCACGCTCTGGCGTCGCGTGAACACCAAATTGGATGTTCCTGTGTGGGCTATTGTGCTCTCGGCGGTCGTGGATGGCTTGCTGGGACTGATCTATTTCGGTTCTACGGCTGCGTTCAACTCCTTCACCGGCGTGGCTACGATCTGTCTGTCGACCTCGTACGGTCTGCCAATTTTAATTTCTTTGATCCGAGGCCGCCAAGATGTGAAAGGTTCCTCGTTCTCCCTCGGTCGCTTTGGATTCGCCATCAACTGCGTTACTATTGTGTGGATCGTCTTGTCTGTTGCTCTCTTCTGTATGCCTGTTACCTTGCCTGTTACCCCGGAGTCTATGAACTACGCCAGTGTTGTGTTCGCTGGATTCGCTGGTATCAGTATCTTTTGGTACTTTATCTATGCGCGTAAGCACTTTACCGGACCTCCTGTCAGTGGTGACGAGGCTCGGGCAGCCACAGAGCTCATGACGGGTACGCCGGTGGATGCGGAGAAACCGTTGGAGACGATGAAGAAGTTGCCGAGCGAGTAGAGGATTTTCTTCATATTGTATTGTTACAAGTCTTTTTTAATATATTAAAACATTAAAAACAATCCAACTTCCAATCTTCCAATCTTCCAATGTTAGAATGTTAGAATGTAATTTCGGCGACAATCACAAGTGCCCTGACGATCGCCGAGAGCCGCGGTCCAACAGCACACGCTCATCTCCAGCTAATCTCTTGGGAGTTTCTCATTTCCCACATTTTGATTGGAGTGAATCTTTTCAATCTGGGGAAAAGGACGAAAACAGCATTCCGGGGAAAACCACAGTCAGACCACAGGGGACCTCGGGAATCTCGAATCTCTCCTATCGGAACAACCATCCCTCCCAATTCCACAAACACCCCCTTCCAGCATCCCTCTCCAAAAGAAAACCTCACTATATCCCCGAGTTCCTATTTCCAGTCTTCTACGCTCCCCATGAAGACCCGCGCAAGCCGATGCCCAACCCCGCTCCCATGAAGACAGGGCAAATCGGACCGCTTATCGCGTCATGTCGGACTCTGTAGGTGCGTGTTGTGCAGATTGCGCCTTGCATCACACAGTCGGATTCAACTGACACCTCCCCGTTCCAGATCGAGTCTTTGTTCATGCCCTCAATACCGTTAAGAGGATTCCCCGGACCGGCACTGCGCGACCTCCCGCCGCCGAGCGGTTGGCACTATATGGCTTGTATAAGCAGAGTATGGGTGAGTTGCCCGGATTACACCTGGAAACACAATGGGGGGACTGTCAGAACTAATATTCAATCAGAGGGGGATGTGGAAGGTGTAATGGATCGACCGATTGGGAATACGCCGGAGGTGCACGCGGAGTGCGAGAAATGGTATGTCTGAAACGCGCGGGGAAAGAAGCCGTTGATGTGGATCTTGCTCTCGAAACAACACTTCCATCGGTTTTTCTGTCTACATCAGAATCATATCCTAACAATGTCTTGTCTTCTAGGGATGCATGGTACGCGCAGCGCGACATGTCGCGCACCGAAGCCAAACGACGATACATCTCGACGTTAATCGACACGATGCACGAATACGCCTCCCAAACCCCCGAAGCGCGCGAGCTCGTCTCAGAGCTCAAGTTCGTCTGGGACCAGATCAAGTTCAACGCCTCCTCGTCGTCCGCTTCCAGTCCGCTGAATACCGTCGGCGTCCCGCCCTTATCGCGCAGTGCGTACGGGAGTATTGGGGGTCGATTGGCGGCGCAATCAGAAGACTATGACCGTCCCGATCGACGGGGTGATACCAGTCGCCGGGATCGGGATTCACGGTTACGGGTTCTCAGTCCTGTGAGTCAACCGGAGGAGGAAGCGTATTACCGACGGGGGCGGGGATCTATAGAAAACGACGAGGATGGAGGTCGACATAATGAGGACGAGGATGAGGATGACGAGGAGTTTGAGGAAGCTCGTGATAGCTTATACGAAGAACGAGATCAAAACGACCACGACGACGACAATGACCCAGACCATGCTAGCTCCAACTCCAACACAAACACCAATACACATACACATACGGACGTCTCTTCACATCACCGTCCCAAACACCGTCGCAATCCTGCCTCGGGTATTAGTATAGACAGCAGTGGGAATGGACTCCCGCATCGTCGAGATTCCCACCCCAATTCCCAGTCCGAGCCACCGAAAGACAGTCGCTGGCGCCGTCGTGTCGAGCAGGCCTTGACCAAAATGACGGCTGAGATTGCTGCTGTGCGTGAGCAGATGGAGGCTCGGTCTGTTGCGCAGCGTCGTCGGTCTGGTCTGTTTGCGTGGCTGAAGTGGATGATTTGGGTTGCTGTCCGGCAGATCTTGTTTGATATTGCTATGCTGGGTATGTTGCTTATCTGGATGCGGTTGAGGGGAGATCGCCGTGTTGAGCAACGGCTTAAGACTGGTTGGGCGGCTGTTAAGGCGAAACTTGTCAAGTTTAAGCGACTGAAGATCGTGGATATGCCTATCCTACCATAAGAGGGTAAGATGGAGCTTATGTGGCTGTGGTCGTGGCCTATCTTTCTTTTATTTTCTTTTATTCTCGGACTTTGACTTCTTGCTGCATTTTTCCCCCGGCATTGTTTGCACTTGGCTATTCCCACATCACCTTTACTTTCTTGTGTCTATTTCTTTTGTCCAGTATATATGGGTTTCAATTTCAGGTTTCGGGAGTCCTTCCTCTTCTACTTTCATTGTCTTTGGATTTCGTTTCTTGGGTTGTCTGATATATGTCGCGTCTTAAGGTGGCAGGCTAGTTGTATCGAGTTATTTATAGATACGGACATCAGCCTAGATGAGATTTTGCTATGATTTGGTGGATGAGCCTAGATTTCAAGCTTAGATGATTATGTATACCCTTTTCTGCTGTTTTCTTGCTTCTCATTTTGCTTCCATACAATCCAGCATGTCTCCCTGCCCTATTGGAAGCCAACGGAGTTTGGCTAGTTATTCGCGGTATTGCTCTCCCCTACCCAGCCCCTTCACTATGTTTTATAAGTTTAATCCCTTTGGGCACACCGAAGCAAGGCGTAGTCGCAGGAGGCGCGAGGCTGGACGCACTGCACCAGTGTTTGGATGAATAGTATCTCAGTCAATCTAGGTTTGCGTTCAGTGTGTCTTGCATTCTATCGAGGAACATCTGTCCTTGCTCCTTGTGGAATAAACGTTGCGGTTCGTTTCAATATTAACATTTCTTGCGATATTTTCATGGTTATGAGCATCAGGGAGATACTCCTACAAGGTTTGGTTTACACCGGGGCGCCCAATCACACGCTCGAAGAAGACAATGAGGCCCTGGTAGTACTCCTCCTGGCCCAGGGTCTTTTGAGGTTTTCAGGGTCGGGCAGGCTCTCCACTGCTTCCACATCAGCGACCTTGGGCGGCGGAAGGACACACTGATTGTTGCGCTGAGAATGCTAATTGAATAGGTGGGGCGAGGCGCCCATTGCCCAGATGCTTAGTACATGGTAGACGACATGATTGTGGAGGCGGGCCTGAAAATGTTCAACTCTAAGTCAGCATGTCCCGCCATTGTAATTCGAGGAGCTACCACAAATGGCCGTTAATTGATCTGTGCCAAAGGTTATACAAGGGCTCATAATTAGCCTGTGCTGTTCATCCAGAGTCTCATACGTTGCGTTTTACCTAGGTATGTCTCAGTACTCAAGTGCTGTATTTCTTCAGCAGATGTTTCATTGACAAGGTCCACTTATGTACTCCGTAGTGTGCAAAGCTTAGTCGAAGTCTTGTAAATACTTTAATTCACGGGCCGAGCCGCTAACCCCAACCCACGTAACAGTCACTTTTTTTTACCTAGAACTATTCAGATCACTATATATCAACAAAACATACCTAGGCATACATAATATAAAGTATTTGGTACTAGGATATACGTGACAAAGCAAGAGAATGTCAAAACGATCTGTCTACTCAGCCAAGTTACCAAAGCTGGAGAAATGAAAAGGAAGAGAAGGGGAAACAGAAAGAAGGGAACAACAACACTGCTCGCCTAGTTCTGATTTAATCTAAGGAGTAGTCTCACTTTCCGACTGAACAACTAGATTTCCCATCTATCAGGGTTCGGCTGCTGAGTGAGGCAAATAAAGGGAAACTTCCATAAAGATATGAAGGAATCATACGGTACCGCAGTTAGTAGTAGTTATTTACCTGAACGGGAAACGGGGCTTGGTGCATCAGGCAGTCCTGCAGAGCAGCTCTTGTGCGCGAGTCAGTATGCTTGTTGTATAAGTTAGGGCACCCTTGTCGAGGGAATTAAGAGAATTATCTCCGAGCCATCTTTACCTCCGCTATCTCCACCAAGCTTTCGTCTCTACTTTGTTTACAATTACTATACAGCTGTTTTCATCTTAAGATGATGTTCCTATAAATACTTTAGTAGCTCTCGTCTTGCATTCCATATAGGTCTTCTTTTGGTATCCAATTTGTCATCTCAATCTTCCCTGATTGAGTTTGTTTAAATTTCAAGTCTCCGGCTTGCTAGTTCCTTCTATATTTTCTCTTTTCCAATTTTGATTCAACATGGCAATGTCAAATTCATCGAGTGGTGTTGTAAGTGAGGCAGCGCATCTGCCCAGCCGCCCCAGCTATATCAAGCTAGTCTTAGACCAGACCTTGATCACCGGTCAAGTCCGTGACTATAGCTACCCAGGCAGCGGGACGACTGAAGACCCATATATGGTGAACTGGCTTCCCGATGACCCAAAAAATGGCTTCAACTTGCCTCCAAGTGTAAAGTGGACCATTGTCTTGATCTGTGCCTTTAGCACACTAGCCTGCTCTTTGTCCTCGACAGTATTTGCCGGCGCAATCATTCAGATTGAGGATTTCTTCCACGTGAAAGATGAGATAGCCATCCTCAGTCTTTCCCTCTATGTACTGGGCTTCGCCCTTGGTCCCGTTCTTTGGGGCCCACTCTCTGAAATCTACGGTCGTCAATCCATCTACCTTGTCACCATGGGCGCTTCGGTCTTGTTTGAGGGCGTGGCCACTGCTAGCAAGCCCGATCAAGTGGCTGCATTAATTGTCCTTCGTTTTTTGGTGGGTTCCTTCAGCTCGGCCGCCATTTCCAACTCGCCTGGTGTGGTCGCCGACATCTTCGCACCGGCGGAGCGTGGACTCGCCGTCATGGTATACTCCATGTTCCCTTTCCTTGGTCCGACCCTGGGCCCCGTCTGCGGCAACTTCCTTGCAGCTGGTGCCGGATGGCGATGGGTTAATGTGCTATGTACTGTCTTCTTCGCCTTGATGTTTGTCCTCGGTCTGGTCTTTATGTCTGAGACTTACGCGCCCTATATCCTACGACGCCGTGCCACGATAATGAGTAAGGAGACCGGCAAAATTTATGTCAGCAAACTCGACATCGGCCTCCCGCCCAAGACTCTCAGCATCACCTTGAGCACGGCTATCACGAGGCCTCTCGTTATGGCGGTATGGGAACCAATATCGACTGTCATGGCTATGTATGCTGCCATCATATATGGGATTCTCTACCTTATTTTCGCTGCCTTCCCTATTATTTTCATTTCTGAACGCCACTGGAGCCAAGGTGTGTCGGGCTTATCCTATATTGGCATCATGATCGGTCAAATTCTCGCTGTTCCATTCTATATTGTCCTTGAGGTCAAGTACCGCAAGAATATCGCCCGCCCGGGTGTTGTGCCGACCCCTGAGATGCGCCTCGAGCCGGCCTTCTATGGTGCTGTGATGCTCCCTGTCAGCCTGTTTTGGTTCGCGTGGACATCATTCACTAGTATTCACTGGGCCGTGGGCCTGGTTGGAACTATTTTCTTTGGATTAGGCAATGTCCTTGTCTTCATCTCCATGACAAACTACCTTATTGATACATATAGCCTGTTTGCTGCTACAGCAGCGGCTACTAATGCCATGGCTCGCGCCCTCTTTGGCTTTGCATTGTACGTTTTGCTCCCCTCTGTTACCATTTTTCATTTTAATGAATGCAGCTAACTAGCCATTAATCTGAAACAGCCCTCTTTTCACCACGTACATGTACAATAATCTCGGAACACAGTGGGCTTCGTCTATCCCTGCTTTCCTATCTTTGGCATTTACGCCTCTGCCCTTTATCTTCCACCGAGTTGGCCCGAAACTGCGCGCTAATTCCAAGTTTGCCAATGAGGCCAAGAGACAACTAGCAAAGATGCAGGAAGTACGCCAGAACGTGGAGAAACGATTTGAAGAGAAGCAATCCGGCTATAACACAATGTCCTCTCACACAGAGGCAGCTGTCGACCCTGAGAGGGTCGCCGGTACCATCCCCACAAAGTCAAGAGTCACCGCCGTCGACCATTCAGACTCCGGCTCCAACTAAACCCATTTGCCGTTCAGCTCATTGTCGAAAGTTGGGATCTCCCCGCCGTCATAGGCTTTCAAGCTTAGCTCTTGTATCTAGCTCGCCTCGTCCCCTTCAGCCAAGGTTCATGGCATATCATATAATAGAAAGGGGTGATGAGAAGGAGGGACGACCAATATACAAGCTCTATTTCCTAGCTATACATAGAAAAGTCTCTTGCACAAAGCATGCTTTCCTTACCCCATTCACATACATTTTAAAAGACATCATGAGGCCGCAAATGTGGCTAAAGATATTTTTGATCAGGCTATCATGTTTTACAGGGCAGGCCGTTTCCTGATCTCCACCTTCGCAGTTGGGTCACAGATCATTTCAAAGCCCAGTTCCACCATCTTTGGCGTGAAACCTTCCGGAATTCTGACATCGTAAGTCAATAGAATCTTAGCCAGAGCAATCTTGACTTCATTGCTAGCAAAGAATCTCCCGGGGCAGACTGGCTTGCCAATCCCGAAGGCGATATGCTCCGGGGTAGAAGAAGCTAAGGCTGCTCCTGTGTTTCCAGTTTGACGTTGACGAAGGAAACGGTAGGCATCATATGAGGACGGATTGGTATAAACAGCGGGATCCCACATCATAGATGAATCAACAGCAACATTAGTTCCACGGGAAATCGTCATGCCATTTGGAAGGACAACATACCGTAAAGCTTTCCGCTCAAGATTCACTATAGGAACGCGTGTTGGTTAGTATCCCGAAATAACTTAATTCGAACCAAGAGGTAATGACTTGGTATAAGTAACCACATACCTAGTGATCCAGGCTTTAGCCTCAAAGTCTCCTTCACTGCGCTGTCTAAAAGTTGCATCTTAAAAACACCAGCAGCTGACCATCCACTCTCCTCAACGGCCTTATTGATTTCATCTCTGATGGCCGAAACCAATTCTGGATCCACACAAATATCCAACAATGCTTGCTTAAGCAACTCCGAAGTTGTGTGCATTGCACTAATCGCAAATGCGATTTGTGCCGCAGCAGCATCGTAGGGGCGTCCTGCGGCTACCTCCTCTAGCCATTGGATAGTATTGGTGGACTTCTCTGTTTTATCAGAACCCCTGCGGTCAAAAATCGGTTGTAGCATAAGACGAGCGAGACGTAGCTGCTCACGGCATGTTCTGAGTTCTGGTAAGAACCAATGAACAACCGGACGGAGGAAAGCGGGCCAGGCGCGGAGTGATCTAACTCCCATGAATGTGTTCATTGTAGAAGTAAGTATCAGCTCCTGCCATTTAGGGTTTTGAGCCAGATCAGGGCCGACAAAGATAGATGCCGACATTCGCCCAACAAAGCGGATTCCGTCTTTCGCCCAATCAACGGTATGCCAGTCTAATTAGAAAGAAGTTAGTGGGTAATTGGGATATAGCGTAGTAGGGGAAATAAATACCATCACCATCCTTCCAGATTTCTCCTAGAGCGTTTGTAATGTGTTCATGGAATAAGCCACACTCTTTCATAAAAGCTCACATTAGTACGAATCCGACCAAACCCAATGACATTAGTGATTTCAGATTCCACATACGAGTGTCATTGTGATTCAATTTTGTCTTGGTGACATTGATAAGGATTTTTCTAGGATCCGTGACAACACTCTGTCCTTCCATTCCAGGGTACGCTGCGAAGTATTCCTATTTTGTTTAGTCTTGTCAATTTTAGTATGGTTTCGGCAAAGTGAGCCAACGTACGTCATGAACAAGGGCTTGATGATCTAAATCCAGACAGCCCTTCAGCCATTCTGTGTAAGATGCTGGGAGGATTACTCGAGAGCCCAGAGTGGTGATAATGCGAAATGGGCCGTTGAACTGAAAGTATGCAAGTCAGATACAATATTTCTTTCATTTAGAAAATCAATAAACCTTACCTTCGCAACTCCTTCTTTGACCAGGCCTCTAGCATTCGACATAAATTCCGAATGGGCCTTTCTCAAAGTTATGTCTCCAAAATATGAATTGATAGTTGGGATCTTCGGTTTTCTCATCCAACGCCAAGTTAGAAGAATTAGAAAGCCCAAGACGGCCGAAGGTAGAATGTAACCGACGGAAAGATCATTGTCGATCAAGCCGACTGTGCGATCTTCAGCATATGCCATCACTGGGTTTAGCTCTTGTAGTCTTTGAGGGATCGTATATAATTCTTTCATACAACGTTGATCAATATATAGAAGATGGTCACGTGTGAGTGGTTGGATCGGCGCTAGCAATGTTGAGTAATAATGACTCTCCCAAGTTCTTCACCGAGGAGACCGAAAGTGGACTAGAGGGGTGGCGACGTTCATAAGCCTTAAAAGACTCCCAAGGTTGGTCCTCGCCAATCCATACAACTAAATCCAGCTTAAACATTAACGCATATGCCCTACAATAGTTGGATTTAGCAACTGCTAAGGTTAGGAATTAAACACATCTCACCAGTTATTGATGCTTAGGCCCACATCAATTGGGAAGGAGAGGGGAGAGAGACCCTGTAATTAACATAAAATACAACACTCGGTTGTTACATGTAAAATACCTGAAAAAGAATTACCCGCATAAAAAGATCTGAGAGATCTACCTAAGTTACATGGACAGATACGGGGTTGATCTCTAATCGGTCGCCTCACTGAACACCTTGACAAATCTAAGAAAAGAAACCCCTACATATTTCCCCTTTTCGTCTCCACTTGACGTTGGTGTGAAAAAAAAAAGAAAAAAAAAAAGGCCATTGTACTCCGTACTTGCATCGAATTGAGAGGAGATCTAGATAGTTGGGAGATAACAAGCCAGGGCCCACGGATCCTTTCTCCCATAGAACGTGATACTGTAGCCAAAGATGTAGAAAAGTGAATCTGACAAATGAATACAACCACTTCTAGGGGTACAGCTGTAAATAACTTGAATAGATTGAAAATACGTCTTGTATTAGACCTGTACAGGATGGATCGAAATTAGTTTGCTCTCGAGCGTCAACAGCGTATCCATGATGTGTTCGAAACATTGAGCTATTAGAGAGCCTGGATTGAGTACCGTGAATGCACCGGGGTGTTTCCCCTTCGTGTAGTTGTTGATGTGTGCGTACAGATCGGCGTAAATATTGTTGGGACCGCATTCTGGCCAGCCTTCATCAAAAAAAGAAACACCGCCGACGCTGGTGCCATAGAATTCGAACCACTTATCGACATCCTGTTCGATTTGCGAAGCCTAGTCTGCAAGGTCTTTTGAGCCTAGTCGAGTGGTAAATTGTTTCTGACTGACGCCAAGGTAGCCAGTCCTAACATAACCGAGTTTCGATGATCTGTTGTATATTTCCCCCCCTCCTCGAATAGGCCAGCTGCTTCACCTGCTTTCTGATTGGCTGTTAGTAACATTTAGAAATAACTGTATGTTGGATAGTGATCTAGAGAAATATTGGCTGCGGAATCGCTGGTACTGTATCATAATTGGAGATCTCGCAACATATGACCTGACCACTTGGGTTTAATGTCAGTTATTTGAACCTCGATTCCGGACTGGGTTCCTAAATCTCTTAACCCCTGTATCATGTCATGTTCCCAATCTTGCGCTTTCATCACACTTCCCAACAGACAAAATCCCCGAAGATTAGGTGTGTGTCTCTTCCAATTTTGAAGCCATGATCGAATAGCCTCCAAAAGGTAGTCAGTCTCCCATTGCCACATCCATTGTTCGTTTAAACACAAGCCGTCGGTTAAAGTCAGCCATTCAAGACTTGTAGGAAGCGCAACTGCCAAATGATTTGCCTTTGACGCCGAGGGAGAAAATCCAAGCAGAAACGGAATCGGGACCTGCAATCTTTTCAAGTTGTTAAGCCCGCTAAAGACCTTGAACGATCCACTGAATTGGACCTCTGGCACTTCAAGGTCGGCTTTGTAGCCCTCTGATCCGGCTGTAATAGTCAAGTCTGTCAAAGTCTCTTTGACATGAGATAGACCCGTGGCGATTTGGTCCAAATTGATGATATCGGTGACGGAATCATCTCTCAGATCTCGGCGGTAGTACCAGTCCCATTTAAGCTCCTGAAGCCTGGGTGTGACCGATAAGACTTGGCCAAGATGCCTTTCACGCAACATTGTCAAGTCGAGGGTTGTTAGTCCCCGTGGATTTGGTGGACTCTTTCCGGTCCATGCGAAAGTAGCAGGGTTATCGACCAAAGCCCTTATCCGTTTGACTGATGGCAGGTAGAAGAGAGGGAGGGTATCTTGTGTGTTTCTGGTTTGCGTTTTCCTACGAATATCGTAGTGAAGGCAGGCAGAATCTGCAGATACATCTTCAAGATATGCGAAAGAACTGAGATGGCTATTTGTGGACTCCTCGCAGAGTGCCGACCGGAGCATCATGCCCCTGAGGCGGGTCTCCCGATTGTAATTTTTGTCAAGGAAGAGACGTTTCAGATTATGGAGTTGTGATATAAAAAGAGTGGTAAACGCGTCCATCGATCTAGCGCGTAGCCTTTGGATCCATTCTTCAGCATATGGAACATTGATCCTTGCAACAAGCTCCACTAGCTCATTTACGACAAGTTCTGTAACTGGTATTTTGGGGCTTTCGTTTCCTGGGTCATCTACGCCCTTGTTGAAATTGTCACCATTGAGGACCACATCGTGGACATAAGTTGCGAGCTCGGGCCTCTGAACGATGCTTCGCAATAATTGAGCGATTGGAGGGTGCTGGGAGTCTGACCACGTCCATTGAATGTGGGCGTAGAGAAATGGCTCAGCTGGAGATCGTAAGTCCCTGTGCGTAAGGCATACTGCGGCAAGATCGCTGTGCGATAGGGACGCAAATATAAGGCGAAGAATCTCTGTAGGCGTTGAGAGAAGGGACGCCATTTTTTTTCAACGGGGGTTGTTGAGGTCGAGAAAAGACACCGACACAGAGCGCTGCAAGGTGCTAGAGATTTATACCGTACTTCGTTCGGGGTACAGACCTGGGCAGGCTAGGCCGCCGATCTAAGCGAGACATTGCCACTGCAATCCACGGAGCCTAACCAAGATAGCCCCCAATGTTGGACAACTGGCGTGCCCAGGTGATCAACGAATAATTTGTGAATAAATTCTAATTCTGGATCACCATGAGAATGATATTTGTAGTTTTTTTAGACGAAAAAAAAAAAATGATAGTAACCTTGGAAGGTGTTATGGATATATTTGGGGCGTAGATTTGCTGAATTGGATATCTGGTAGGGTAAGCCAGAACGCCAAAGCAGCTCTGTTTTATCAAATGCCCGTCTCTACATAACCTATTCTGAGGTGATCATGAGCACATACGATCATAGGGTGTGGAAGATAAAAATTACAGGGGTCGGTTAGCCAGTCGTTTAAGGAAAAGAGTATATTTTAACGAGAATACTAAGCATAGAGAGTGCAACATAAAAAGAAAGAAGAAAAAACTCTGCTATGACAGGATCCTTTAAGGAGTGCTGTCATAACCAAATAATCAAATAATATCTCTAAGGCGGAAACTTCTAGTAGAGTCAATCTGTATAACTTACGCCGAATTTAAAAGGTCATCTAAATCTTTTTTGTGTACGGAGTAGCTAAGTCAATATGCTACAGACACTCTCCTTGTCCCGGTAGTAGCTTTCATAAAATCCAGACCACATAACTCTATCCGCACATCTTGGCCTATCAGCATGCTCAGTATCATTATCCGGACAAGCGGGCAGTGCAGCTTCCCACTCAGCGTCCGTGTGGTAAAGCCACGGCTTTGGAAGCGGCCAATCACTAAAGTGAACCAGATATGCGCGGGAGACCTCCGCCATGGCATTCCACTCTTCATCTTTATTTTCAGACATGTAGCGGTCATGATCCGATTGTCGGAATTCCCCTGTCAGCAAAGCTAAACGTCGATGGGGCAAGATCATGGCTGAGTCTTTGAAGAGATGATTCAAGACTTCCATGTCAAAGTCCCCGGAAGCTGTAGCTTCGTCGATAATGCGCTTGTAAGTATTTACGTTCGGCTCGATTAGCATGACATGGGACCCAAGCATTTGGTCCTTGATTGATGCTCCCTTGTCGTTCAGCCAATATGCCCTTGGAACTGCGACGGGGGCCATTGGAGAAAGGAAGTAATGGTCCATTTTGTTGAGAACAAGGGAGTCCGAATCGAAAGCCAGGACACGGGTGTACTCTGTGAGAGCGAAGGCCTGAAACTTCGTCAGGCTTTTTTGCCATGTCGAATCTCCTTGAGAAGTGGTGAGAACGTTGACTGGTCGTAGTTCGAGATGCGAATAATGTTCGTGGATGTTTCCAAGTGCTACGTGCTCGATCCCTCCAGGCTGTTTCGCTTTTTAGCTCTCAAGTCGTTCTAATACGGGAAGGTTCAATATGGCCAACCTCGTCCCATTCTTTCGGATATATCAATACCCGGTCGAAGCTTGCTGCGAAACGATCAAGTCGCGCAAAGTTGATCATCTAGGTTGATTAGCCATAGGATCGAATCGCACATCGCAAGACCTACTGCATTGCACAGGTAGTCGATATCGGTAGCATATTGAACATATGCAAATCGAACGTTCTCCTGTTCTGTTGTCCAATGTGCCTTGGTGCCATTCAATGCTCCAATCGTCTGATTACTCCAAGAAGTCGGAACGGTCAAGGCGGTATGTTCGCGTTTTCTTTGGGTAAGAAAAAGCAGCCCACATGATGCTAGAACGAATACCGCAATGATCGTCCGCTTTGCAGATAATAGCATGCTGGAGTCGGGAAGTAGATCCAGGCTACTATTTCTGATACATAGAAGCTCACATAAAACCACACAAAACTAGGCGCAAGTAAAGATAAAAATTTCCTGTCACGACATTGGGACCCGTGGACTATTTCTAAGCTTACGTATGCCCCACTAGTGTCTTGGATTCGTCAAATCAGTGAGTTCCCTTGGGGCAGTTCTAATAAAGAGCCTATCTTTAGAAGATTGCTTATTGGATCGTGCTGCCCCACAACGGTGAATACTTTCTTACAACGGAGAAAACTCGTTCAAAAACATCCTCATTGAAGGCTCCGCAATTGCAGTTCCTCATGAATTTAGGCAAAGATGACTCTTTGGACAAGATCAGTAATGTTAAAAAATGCACAATCGCATTGTGTCTGGTAGGAATAAACCTGAATTTAAGAGATATGAAAGGCTCACGTTATCACAGTTGGTGCTTCAAAATACCGCTTCAATTCTGGTACGCAAAACATACCTCTTCTTCTTTTTCTAAAACTGAATGGAAGTAGATACAACACCGAGCTCAGTCTCTAGCTGTAACGAGTCCTGAACAACATGAGGCTTTGACTACCATAATCTTGTCCGAGGGCCTGAAGCTCACAATTTCCGTGCTTTTCATTACGCTCAGAAATGCGCCCGCCTTTCCGACGCTTTCATACCCTGCACAATCAACTCGCAGTACTCTCACAGCGGGACATCAAGATGCCATCCTACCAGCGATTTTATATACAACTGCGACATACCTACAAAGCGTGGGGGCTCGGAATCTCGATCTCCTCCCTTACTTGATGCTGTCGCAAGCCAAATTCATCACTACTCCCATTTTCAGCATGATCTTTCTTAATCGAAGATTTTCGGGTAGAAATTGGGCTTGCTTCTTTCTCATAATCCTAGGAATCACAATGGTTCAAACCTCTCCCGCAACATCGTCCACAAAAGACGTCTTCCAGGGGCAATTTCCTTCAAGAAACACTAACCTCGGGCTATTTTGCATGCTGTTATCAGGAACAATTGTCGCTTTGGCTAGCATACGAGTGGAGATGATGTTGCAAGCCTCCAAGCCATTCATGTCTCGCAATGCTCATCTCGCTTGGTACAGCTCTCTCTCCGCTATATTGGGCTTTATCTGCAAATCAAAACAAGGCGCTGTGCCATTTTTTCATGGCTATAATCACCTTGTGTGGAGTTTTGTTCTATTGCAGGCGACAGGCGGGTTTCTCGTTGCTTGGTGTGTATCATTGACGAACACCGTCACTAAGAATTACGCGCAAGCGGTGGGGTTCCTTCTGGCGTCCACGGCCCCTTTTATTCTGCAACAAGACTTCCATTTCCAGGTAACTTGCTCATGACATTTTTCAGTGATTCATCTATTCTAATATTTGTTCATATAGCATCTTTGCGGGATCATTCTTGTTGTGAGCGCAATATTCGGATCTGTCCAGCAGACAATTCAAGCCCAGGAATCAATCAAGTCATCGGATCGAGAAACTATGGTATGAGATTAAATCCTTTGAATTGAATATCAATCGGAATGATATGGCTTTTCTAAGACGGAAAGGTGATTCTTTCGGGGCTCTTGGGGGTGGGGGGAGTCAATTACATACACGCGGTATTAGATACTCTGTACAACATATTATCTACAACAAATGTAGTATGAATGTTAGGAATTTATGACAGCACGGTAATAAATGGCATAGTGTACATATATGTATATCCCAAATAAGAAAGTTAGATCGATAATCCTAGCCGTGGAGCGCGAAACGCTTTGCTATCTATTCCGTACCTAAATAGGAAATCAACATGCATGAATATATAAAGCGACCTCTGAAACATCTTTATTAATAGAATGGAGAAAGCAGCAGCAGCAGTAGTACTAGTACTAGTAGGGTTCATTGGACTAATCGGTGGAGTCCAACCTTGGAGAACTCCAGCTCATGAACTGACTAAAGACTGCTGTCCCTAGAGAGAGAGAGAGAGAGATATGTAGTGGTGCTGAGTCGGTTCATAGAAACAATTTGCTTCAAGATCGAGTTATCTAACTGTAATTTAAGGGTCGGAGTTACGAACTGGTAATACAGATTTGTTTCAATCCCCCTTATTGGTGATTAGCTTTTCACCATCAGTGGAGTGGGAGTGGGCCTTGTGGCTTGACATGACTCACTGAAACTCCGTATGATTCAGTATAAGCACGTTCATCTTGAGTATAATAATGGAATCATGATAATCGAATATGGCTAAGCGCATGCTTGATATGTACTTGTCATAGGTTAAACGACAGGGGCCCGCAACCTAGGCTCCATACTGCTTGGCAATTCCATTCTACGATAAGAAAAATCTCTGGAAAGTAAAAATTATGGGAATACGGAGTACGCTGAGCTACATAGTGTATTCAATATCACGCTAATGAAGCTCCGCTTGAAGAGAGGTACGATACATCGATACATAGACAAGACCATAGAAGCCGCGCGGCTGCTAGGCTTCTCTATTAGATATCCACGGATACTGAGTACTATAGTTCTTGAGCAAAAGTCAGATATTTGGTGATCCTGTTTAGATGAGAATTATTCAGGATTATTAGAGATGCTCGATGTACCAAAAGTACACCGAAAGCGTTGAATGAATGACAATACTTTCTCCATTATAAATTAGGACGATTCTTATCATAGACAGCTCAAGAAGTAAGCACATTAGAACTGATCTTAGAATGTATGTTTTCCAGCCTCTGTTGAGTGTGCATAGTGTGAACTGATTGACTCAGAAAAGCTACAGGCATTATAAAATTCACGCAGTGTAAATAATTGCAAAGTGTTTAGAGCCAGCTAGGCCTTGATCGGATATTTCAAAGTTGAACAATAAGAGGTCTCAGCGTATGACGTTTGGAGAATGACGTTGGTCAAAAGGCAGCTTGTTTTCAGCAGCCAACTTACCGTAGTGATAATTAAGACCCCGTAGCACATGCCTACTATCATAAGCCCAATTACTGCTGCTTCCAAGACCAGTCCAAATTCCAAGATGAGTCGTATGCGAAAGCTGTAGCACCGGCTGAGATGAAAGGCGTAACAGGAACATCCATTGTCGTCACGCAAGTATAGCCGTTGATTGGATATAAACCATAGCTAGTGCTGTAGCTATATAGGCTTCTAGGTTCGCCATCACCGGTACCAGCACTGTAGACCGATGGAGAAATTTCGGAGATCGGGACTGTCAAAACCAACTTCTCGTGCTGAACAGGTGTTGCCGTTGCAGCCACTATACTCGCAACCAAAGCCACCAAGACAATCGCAAACGGAAGCCTCCCCAGCGCCAGAAGAGCCGTCGCCGCAGAAACCGCAGTTGGAGCCGGAGAGGGCGGCGGATGTCGTGAAATCGTATTATTAGCAAAATTGGTGCCAACCCAGGCATTCCAGTTCTGGATATCATCCAAGCACGATTCCGAGATCGATGCCCCTCGCATCTCCGCGACAGTCTCTCCCCGACGAGATACCTTCACAACCACTTCTCCGGTATTACCATCGAATGGCACACTGCCATGATAAAGACCGATTGGACCATGTGGTTTATTCTTCCACTTCCCATCCTGCACGACACCGCCAATATCAACCGTCACATCCACATCAGCAGCAGACTTCAGAAGTGCAGAAAAGAAGACCTCATCCTGCAAGACATCTGTAGGCGGGAACTCCTTCTGACCGTGCGTCTCTGTATTACCCATAGTGCCACCGTTGGTACAAGCCTTCCCAGGTGCCTGACGGAACCAGGCAGTAACACCCTCCGTAGTAACATTTGCCCTGGCACCCTTGTAGACATCGATAATGAAAGGCAGGAAGTCACGCCAGCCGTCATGGGGATGGCCAGCAGCGTAGTTGTAGCTCGCATTGCCGATCTCGAAGGTCGCATATGCACCCTCATGCAGCGGGCCGATGTAGTGCGATTCGCCGTAGTCGTTCCATGAGATGATCTCCACAAACTCCGGCTTCAGAGATATCACTTGCTGCCACCGGTCGTACCACAGATTATCGCCGTTCCAGATCCAGTTCTTGCCGTAGCCGGGGAGGTTCGTGTAGAACCACGGCGAGACGGGCATCATGTACGGCAGTTTTCCTGTGTCTTTGAGCCATTGCATGTAGGTCGAGTCTATATATGTGTTTATCGGTTCTGGGCCTTCGGGCCATGCGGCCCAGGAGAATAGGCCATCTGGAACGCCTGGTGCGACGGCGAGTGCTTCCTTTGCGCCTAGGGCTGACCACCCTGGTACGAAGAAACAGTCTGTGTACTTTTTGATTGTGGCCCAGTCTGTAGCGTTGGAGGAGCCTTCGAAGGTTGAGACGAAGGGTTTGCCGTTGTGTTGATAGTAGGCTGTGTTGTTTCCGTATTTTCGGAGTAGGCCGATCACCTCGCCTTCTGGCCAGGCACCGTTGCCTACATAGTCAAACGAGAAGAGGAGTTGAAAGTTCAGGGCGTTTGCGGCAGTGAATGCGTTTGCTAGGGAGCGGTTGTTTGTCGGGAAGTTGTATGCGATGTTTAGGGCAAAGGCGTCGATGTGCGCCCTTTGCGCTTCTGCTATGTTGATTTCCCAGTCATAGACGGTGAAGTTCTCCGAGTTGTATACCTGAGGTAGGTAGAGGTTAGCAGAGATATAGATTGCAGTTGAAGTGTTTTTACCATGAAATGGGCGAACACGGCCGCTGCTTGGACGTGTTGAACGCCTCTCCACAATGAGAGTATCAAGAATATTGTCGACTTCATGTCAACCTGTGTCAACCTGCGTGTGTGGTTCAGACTATAGAAGTAAGTAGCACATAAATATGGAGAGTCGTTAAAGAAATAAGAGCAGCTTTTGTATAAATTATATAAATTATCTATGTACTTGGTTTCCCGTTGCACATGCACGGAATCTGGTGGAGAGTTTGATACCTGCATTTATCCCTCTCGAGATGTCTATAGATAGATGCCGGAGGTCCGCTATTCGTACATCGGGATCTAAG